GGTCGTAAATCCTGGCAAACAGCTGTTCGACGATTGCCATAAATCGCCGGTGTTGATCTAGAGCACATATGCGGCCGCTGCTTTTGGGTCCCGTTGAGTGGGAGTCGAATTGTGCACGTTTGGGTTGAGTTATGATGTTGATACTCAAATAATGTTACAAGACGTGATATAAAGGTTTCCTATAAAGTATTGTAATTGTGATATCTACTGTCATGTGCAGATTGGTAGAGTAGTACATATACTTTTTTATAAAGGTTAAAATGTATCATAAATTGGGGCCAAATATATATGCACATGCCTTATTACATACATATAGATACGCACATATATAAAATCATACGCGCACACACACACGCACACCACACACACACACACACACACACACACACACACACATACACATACATACATACATACATACATACATACATACATACATACATACATACATACATACATACACACACACATACATACACATACATACAACACACACACACATACACACACACACACACACACACACACACACACACACACACACACACACACACACACACACACACACACACACACACACACACACACACACACACACACACACACCACACACACACACTTCCTCTACTCTTTCCTCTTTAAATGCTGATAAAATAAAGTATAACCCCGTAATTAGGTTTGGTTAATGTGCTCAGTACCTTGTTTGTGTGTAAACCTGCTCTGTATTTACGGCAGGTTTATTAAAACTTCGTGAGGCTCGACCCACTGAATGTTTGTAAATAAAGACGCATATACATAGGAATAGATGCATATACGTCTATCAGATATATTTACATTTATCCATCTATCTATACGGTAGATATGCAGGTCTAAACTGATAGATATGGATTTATCTTAGTGTGTATGCATGTCCGTATAATGAATATTTACGGGGTCGGGCCTTCAACAGTTCAATAAACGCAGAGACAACCGATATTAATACCACAGTTATTCTCCCCTGCAACTCTCAAACTATTTCATACTACGTGTTGTCCCTCATGCGTTCTTCTGTCCACGTGGCAGAGATTCTCCCCTGCAACTCTCAAACTATTTCATACATAGTAGAGATTCTTTATATCTAAAACGTATCACCTTCCACAGTTCTAGAATTGGAATTAACGTCAGTACTTACTTATCCGTCAGTACTTACATCTGCACGTTCTTCCACGTAGGTTATTGACGTTCATCTTATCAAGGTTTATACAGACCTTGCTCCCATTATTCCTATATTATGCACGTAAATAGTTCTCTCTCTCTCTCTCTCTCTCTCTCTCTCTCTCTCTCTCTCTCTCTCTCTCTCTCTCTCTCTCTCTCTCTCTCTCTCTCTCTCTCTCTCTCTCTCTCTCTCTCTCTCTCTCTCTCTCTCTCTCTCTATCTCTCTCAGAAACAACTAATATTGAAGATAAAGCCGTGTGAGGTACAGTAACTAACTAGTTACTGAATAAGGAAAGAAAGGTAGCTGAAAAAGTGAGTACAATCAAAACACCTGTTTATTTTACTGCACAGCTCCTGTGAAAGAAATTCATACATGAAAAAAAACATAAATGCAATGTGTATGCAGTTCTCTGACAAAAGTGATAATATATATATATATATATATATATATATATATATATATATATATATGCTGTGTGTGTGTGTGTGTGTGTGTGTGTGTGTGTGTGTGTTGTGTGTGTGTGTGTGTGTGTGTGTGTGTGTGTGTGTGTGTGTGTGTGTGTGTGTGTGTGTGTGTTGTGTGTGTGTGTGTGTGTGTGTGTGTGTGTATATTCATATATATGCAGAGTATATATATCATACATTAATTTGGTTATCAGTGTATTTATTTATTTATCCATTTACCTATTTTTTATCAATCACTTCATTTATTTACTTATCTGTTACATAATATACACCCCATTTTACAATAAAACATAAATATACAATGCAGATACAGTTAGTAAACACTAGTATGAATAAGTCTTTTGAATTCATATTCGCATTTGGTTTTCTGTCAATTTTCAAGAACAGCATTATTGGGCCAAGAATAACTAGCTTACTTCACTAATCATACGAATGAAAATGTATCTTCCAATGCAGGAACTCTCCATTAATAAAACAAGGCCCTCATGCAATCCCACTGGACACGTAGCTTACATAATGAATGACATTTGTTGTCTGAGAATCACCTACTAGCACTAAAATATAATTCACAGTTTCAGTTGTAATATTTCTGTTTTTCTGGGTTATGTTTATGCTCAATGCTTTTCTCTCCTGAAACATAAAACTATGTTATGTTTACAGTGTTAATGACAATAGTGGCAAAGCTTAGTTAAAAATCCTTGGAAAATACCTTTGAATTGAAAAAAATATGCCAGAGATATAGTTTTCTTAAAGCTTCTGATCCTTAACTTATAGCCTCTTGCTTTTGGCGTCGGAGGCAAAAAGGCTACATATCAAACATTGATCCTCTCCAATTGAAACACCATGGTTCAGCCACAGAGAAATACTCTAACACATATCATTAGCATGCAAACACTAACACACATATAAACATACAAACATTATCACAAACACATACATGCTCAGTTTCCATTACATAGCCATTATCACCATTGTTATCATATTAACCTGCTGGTAAATTTGTCCTATCAAAAAATATTTGTTACAAATGTAAAATCCATTTTCATTTATGAGATTATTAACCTTAGATTGGTTATTAATAGCTATTCTTGTCTATTATGGTTTACGTCATTGGCAAAGGCTGTGTAATTGTTTGAAGGAAACTTTTCACTCCAAAAAATTTGATCTCACGCATAATTTTTGTACATTATTAAGGTCTTATAATAAAATAATCCACACATTTATATAATATGTATTTAA